TCATCATCATCATCATCCCCCCCTCATCCTCATCACCACCACGCACGCACTTTAAAAATCCACCAGACGCACACGTCGACGCCCATTTGAGGTGAGGACTGACTTACCCAAAAGACGAAGGAATAGACGATGAGGAGGGTCTTGAGGCAGGTAATAACCGGTTTGGTCTCCATGATTTCGCTGCTGACGGCGGCGGAAACAAACACACTACTGCAGCACGCACGGCGTCACGGGTGCACTTCATCACGGAGACCGCCAGGGGGAGTCCGCAGCCACGCCACCATTCACTGGAAGCTGCAAAACTGAGAGGCTCATTCACTTCCTGTTTGTTTTTTGTTTTTTGGGGGGGCTCGGGGGCTGTGTTAAAGCAAATAATGCAATGACTAATTTCAGCTCTTTAAATATGTAAATGTTTACATCAAACTTAATATTATTTTGGCTCTATCGTAGTCACTTTTCTCCAATTGCACTAAACCCAACTCTAATTTAATTTGTTAGTGACCGAATCGTACGGCCTAAGTAAAATGGGTTTCATGATAGACCAGGGATGGGTTAACTTAAATGATGGAAGGGGCTATAATTTTTCCATCAGCGCTATTCAGCAGGCCACAGAGGGTCACACACTTCCTAACGAGATGTAATTCTTCAAGAAACACCGATACACACCCAGGATGCGATTTCCAAGAAAAACAAACAAAAGAAATGAAAAAAATTTCCGTGCTCAAGCTCAACACTTGATTTTTCGTTTTCCACTAGGTTATCTATCCTTTTGATTTCAAGCAGTGGAGATACTGTTGGATGAATTTAAGAAGCGCAAGCTGTCTGCAGAAAGACTACTATATTAGCGAGTGAACAAAAATGGTACCAAAAAAAGCTGTATTTTTAAAGACATTTTGTGCAGGCATGCTCGAATTGACTGATTTGCAAATAAAATATTTTCTTCTCATGACTGTTAAAAACACATACTGTACCGTGTTGTGATTGATATCCTCAGTCAAACGTGTCATCTTTGGCTTTGGGAGACGGCCATTAACATTTTGTTCCTCAGTAATGAGGATAACTATTATTACAGTCTCAATTTACATCATCAGGTCATTGAGGCTGCTCAATAGTTTCTAAATGTCAGTTATCGCACTGCTAATGAGAGGTACTTCTATCACTTCTCATTTCACACAGTCACACAGACGGAGAGCACCATTGAGTGAGAACGTGTAGGCCAGGATTGTGAACATTTTCTGACCTGTGCATATGAGAGAATACAGTACTCTCAAATAGGGTTGTAGAAGATGAGAATACCTGTAGGTAGACGGAAAAGGATATATTTCAAAAGTAGTATTTTTCGGAGAATTGAGATGTAAATATTGGGACTGTAGGGAATCGAGATGCGGTTATTTTAAAAGACAAAGCACTCATTTTACAAGAATTCTTAGTCTACTTAAAAACCTATTTTTTTTAATTAATAAAGTCTCAGTTTTACAAAAAAAGTGGTACATTTCAACAACCATTGCACACGAAAAGGCCCAATGAGAAAAAAGTTGCAATTTTATTAAAATACAATTTTGTCAACAATCATGATCGTACAAAGAATAATCATACCGGCATCAAATAGCGCAGGTTACAATTTCGTATAGTAAAAGTAAGAGTTGATTATCACCATTTTCTTCTACAAAGTGCAAGTACAAACCAAGACCATTTAATTAGAAAGGGAATTCAATAAAAATCCAATGAAAATGTGCTTCGCCTTAGTGTATCAGTGAAAAAAAAAAAACATACAATTGTGATAGAAATCTTACAGGGCTGAGTGTGTAAGTGTACACATGCATTAAGCAGTATCGTGACATTGACAGTGGACTGACGGCATGTAGAAGTCGAGCACCTCAATATTAACATGAGCAGGAGGAATTTTTGTTTTTTTGCTGGTGTGGAGGGCCTCTTATATGCCGACCCTTTGCTTGTAGTAGCTGGTGAGAGAGTTAGCCTGCACGGTGAGCTTGGATAGGACCCCCTGGAGGCCGGTGAGGTGGTACTGGAACTGCTTCTCAATGTTGTCATCCTTGTCATCCTCTTCATCCATTTCAGATGATGATGATGATGATGATGATGTGGAGGATAAGGAGTTGTTTCGGGTGAGCCTCTTGCCCTCAGCAGCTTTTACGCCCCACTCGATGTTGCCGCGCAGGGTCTTGAGCAGGTGGTAGGAGGCGTACAAGTCGCCCTCGTCCAAGTCTGACTTGAAATGGCTCATCTCCGCGTGGCGGTCCAGCGGGATGTCCCTCAGCAGGTTGGGCACCATGACGGTCTGGTCCATGGTGTTCACCGCACCAATGAAGCCGTCCATGCAGCTCATGATGGAGTTTTTCTTCTTGGGATGCATCATGATGATTGGACAGTCCTCGGTCTGGAACTGGAGTGTCGAGTTCTGGCTTTCCTTCACTTGGAAAAAGATTTTGCTTTCAAATGGGAGTCCAAGTAAGATCATAAGTGCATAAGGTTGGTCTCGGTGGTCACACCAAAGTTGAAGCCGACCCCAAGCCGCCTAAAATGGCCAAGAAAGGAATGAATGGTAATCACCAGGCAAAACTTGTCATGAATATATAATGAGATTAAAATATTTGATTTTATGAGGCCAAGTAGGAATTGTAAGAACAAAGTTGAAATATTACAAGAATGTGAGTGTTCTTGGTTTAGGACAGTAGAGTACACCGAGACATTTTTAGGGGTACAAATGGTACGCAAGGACTGGACCCCTGTACAGTCAGATTATATATTTCTTTTTTTGCCCACAGTAAGAAGATTTTGTAATGCTAGGAGAATAATCATGTCAAATTTTTAAGAGGGAAAAATTTAATTGCAAAAAAAAAAAAAGTAACACCAGAATAAAATGTATTTGGAGGATAAAAGTAGCAACTGCTAGATTATTAGTGTTGTATGTTATATAATGATGCTTTCATGGTTCATGAACAAAATGGCTATTTTAAAGGAGAACAAAAGTAATTTGAGGAAAAAGCAATAAATATGAGAATTAAGTCGAAATATGAGACGGCTGGATTACCACAAAGTGATAACAGTACAAAAAAAGTCATGTAACAAGGAAAAAAGGCACATTAGCAGTAAAAATGTCATTTTAAGGAAACAATTATGTAAATTTAGGAGGACAAAACTTTAGTGTTATGTGAATAACAAGAGATGCACCAAAATGAAAATTCTTGGTCAAAACTGATAACCAAATACGAGCCTTCTTACAAAGTGGGACAGTAATAAGAACGTTTTTGTGATTTTCCCTATTAAAAAAAAAAAAATGCAAGAAACGTATGTGATACAACACACGAGGAAACTTTGCTTCCCAAACTCAAGAGCCTTCTTACAAAATAAAGTGGGACAGTAACAAGAACGTTTTTGTGATTTTCCCTATTTAAAAAAAAAAAAAATGCAAGAAACGTATGTGCTACAACACACGAGGAAACTTTGCTTCCCAAACTCAAAACCCTCTTTGCGAATAATAAATTTTTGACACAAAGCAAAAGTTTTCCCCACTTTGTTCCCGCCCGTAACTAAGTTGTTTGATTCCCATTTGTTTTCTTAAATGGACATAAAGAAACCCTTTATTGCTTTGACGTCATGACATGTTCGTTCGCCCATTAACATCGTATTGTCAAAGCGAGCAAACAATTTTCTACACTTTAGATTGGTCTCTAATTTACACAAATATTACAGCGAAAACGTGGAATAACCAAGAGTGGAGATGTGTGTGTGTGTGTGGGGGGGGGGGTTACCAATATGACATAATTGAAGCACATTTGCGGAAATATTAAAAGCATTAATTAATTTTTTGGGGTGGAAATACAATTTCGCATGCGAAAAGCTTGGGTGTATTTTTTTTTCTCAAAACATTGGTGAAGTTAACATCTCGGCAGCAAAGTTGAAGTCCTGCACCTTCACACCTGATTCAATTTAGCCAATTGTGATCGCACCTTTGCATTTTTACAATCCCCAAATCCGACCGCATACAATCATTTAATATGTTTAACCGGTGGATATTCATATAGGAGCGATAGCTAACCGGTTCTGGTAACAAAAAGAGTTTTGTACACCACTAAGATGATTTATGGTGAATGCATTGACCAACCTTGTCGCCAAGGTGGCGGACAAAACCGCCCCTTGGTCACTCGAGGGTCGGTTGCGTCCAGTTCGGGAAAATGATAATTAACTCACCGTTCAAACGTTGATATTTCGTGTGGAGGTGTACGTTTTACGAACGTTTGCTCCGTCAACGCCGGATAGCGTTCCAACACAATAGTCACGTTTTATCAAGGAGGACGTTCAAAGCGAGTGGACCGAACGTTTTCAACTGAACTGAGCATGCGCACCTGCGAGCACCATTTTGGCTGGCAACGAGTCATGAAGTTCGGTAAAAGTAGCTGCGTGTACTGTACTTTCGAAAGCAGAAAGAAAATAAAAATATGACTGGCAAAGACAAAACCTGGTCTTTGAAAACACGACACTATCGGGGTATAAAGGGCCTCGCTAAGGTAGCAAACTAGATTTTCATTGTATTTTTTAGCACTAGCAAGTTTGTTAAAACCATTAGTTCCCAAACTTTTAACACTAAGTACCACTTCAAAAAAATACTTGGTTCTCCAAATATCACCTTAATGGAAAACCTTAACATACAGTAACGTATATTCTCTTCCATGGTATAAATATATATTTTTTTCAGTATTTAATTTTGTGATTCTTTCACATTATACCTGAGAGAGCCCATGGAAGTAAATACCACACTGCGCTGAATCAAATTCAAAGGCCGAAATTTGGAATAGGGATGACATGTAAGGCCTTTAATAGAAAACACACAATTTTACAACATAATCAATGGCATCAATTCATTTATTGGATTTCAGCACACCTCAACAACAAATTAAAAGTTCAGACAACACAGGAGAAGCTGCGTTTAAATGACTAAACTGTCAGACCCTGGTTCTGTCTTGGAGGGTTCCCTGACACAGGCCATTATTACAGCTTGGCTCAAACCTCGAAAGGAGGAACATTGCCTGGCCAAATTTGCACCCCCATTCAGTGTCCGACATAGGAAATGTGTGAAAGTTTGTCTGCGTTCGGCAGATAATATTTTATTTAAAGGCATGAATCCATTGTTATAGTTAATTGTCCCCAAAGTCAAATGCCCATTTGAAGTTGGTAACGGAAGAGGTTGGGTCTGCTTAAAGACATTCGTCGCTCTCATCATTTAAAAAAAAAAGTATGACATGAATGGATTGTGCCTCAACCACTGTTACATATTCATCAGGCATATTCGACATCAAGATTAGAGGTCAGTCAACTTTTGTCCAATTATCACCCCTTCGTAAAAAGCGCTTCACCCTGAACCAAACTCGGACATCCAGGCTTTGTATCTTTCCAGGTCTGAAGCTGAGACAGACTTGGAGATCTTCTTGAGTGTGAGCGTGAAGTCCTCCATCATCACGGGCATCTGGAGCTCTTCTTTGGACAGGGCTCGGATCTCCTCTGGGCTCAGACCTTGGATTCGCCGCCGCATGGCCATCATGGAAGCATCCCTGCGAGAAATGATTAACAAGATGGTTGAGGTTGTCGAGGAATTTGTCTATGTTCTCTGACAAACGTACTGTGTACAAACCTGCAGACGTTGGTGATGTCGGCTCCAGAGTAGCCCTCAGTTTTTTCAGCGATCAGGTCCAGGTCCACGTCGGCGGCCAAATCCACTTCCCGCAAGTTGATCTTAAGAAGCTCCACCCGACCCACAGCTACACAGTGTTTACAAAAAAAAGCAATGTTAAAGATGGCACACATCAGGAAATTAGGTGAGTCAGTTGAAACTGCAATTTTACAACTTTGGAGTTTCAGTTCCCCAATGGAAGCATTCTTTCACGCAGGATATAAAATCAGGGGACTTTTCTGCCTTTTTCCTTCTGTATAAATGAATACCACACTGTGCTGCAAGATTTTTTATTTTTTTTACAGGAACAATGTGTCCTTTGTGGCATTTAAAACGTTGGCGGGTGAGAGGTCACCTGTTGGCAAAGGGATGTAGATCCGCTTCTCCAGACGTCGGCGCAACGCCTCATCAATGTCCCATGGGAAGTTGGTTGCGGCGAGGACCATGACCATCTTGGAAGGGTCGTCATTGTCCTGGGCGCCACCCACCCCTGGAGCATTGAAACGGGAAGATCATATCGGGTGAAATGTCGGGATGTCGGAATCCGATCACGTGATCGGAAATCACAGCTGAACGGGTAGTTTTCAGCTGATTGGGGATCAGGGGTGCATTTCTAAAATTTGATAGGTCACAAAGTTATCACAAACTCCCAAGATATAAATATCTTGTCAAATGAAGCACTAATAACTGAATTTTATATTACACAATGATATGATATGCGGTCATAGCGCCAGTGAGAGACACGCACACACAGACACACACGGAGACCAAAAAAAGTGTGATGGTAGATCCCTAGTGAAATGTAAAAAAAAAAAAAAAAATTAAATTACCGTCCATTTGAATCAGAAGCTCAGATTTGACTCTGCGACTGGCTTCGTGTTCATTGGACGTTCCTCTTCTGCTACAGATGGAGTCGATCTCATCTATGAAGATGGTCGTCGGCGCGTAGAAGCGGGCCTGGTACCAAATTGCCCAAATCATTGCTTTGAATTGCATTCGAGTTTATCAGGAATCGTCCCAAGAAACATACATGCAATGTTGTACCATTTCAAAGAGCAGACGGATGAGTTTCTCCGACTCGCCTCTGTATTTGGAAGTGAGAGTGGAAGAGGACATGTTGAAGAAAGTCGTCCCGCATTCTGTCGCCACAGCTTTGGCTAACATGGTCTTGCCTGTACCCGGTGGGCCGACCATTAGCACGCCCTGTGAACAATGAACAATTCTGGAGATTAAACAGGTTCTAATAAAAAAAAAAAAAAAAAACATGATGCCATTTTCGACATGCATACATTGCTGAACAATCCCATGTCACTTTTCATATTCAGGGGGAAAATTGCGGTGTCACATGAAAAAGTCGTATAGTTAGGGGAACAAAAAAAACCCCAACTCATATTGATGAAAAACAGGTAATATTAAAACTAATTCAGTACCACCCAATTCTAAACCAAGTCTGAAAAGAAATATAAAAACGTCTTTGGGAGTGAATGACTTCAATCAGGCCATAGCATTGTCTTAAATAAAAAAAAGTGTCTTTCCACCATGTTGTGGCATTTATGGGCAATTGCAAACCTTTTTGGGGTAGGTGTCAGTGACTCACAAATTTTCGCTCTTCACATCACTTCGAAATGGAAAATGTGTGTGTGTGTGTGTGTGTGTGTGTGTGTGTGTGTGTGTGTGTGTGTGTGTGTGTGTGTGTGTGTGTGTGTGTGTGTGTGTGTACCTTCCAGGGCCGTCGAATGCCCTTGAAGAAGTCAGGCATCCACATGGGCAACACGACAGCTTCTCGTAGCAGCTTCTTAGCGTCCTCCAGATCGGCAATGTCATTCCTTCCCAGAGAATTCAGTTGTCAGCAATTAGGGAAGGGGGAGGGGGCATTGTGGTGTCTGTGTGTGCGTCTTCATACCAGCGTACATTCAGGTTGCGCGACACAATGTCTCGCTCGAGGGACTCGACCAGGTCGCTGTCATGTCCTGCACCATCAAACTTTTTCTGCTCTTTGTCACCTTTCTTTCCCTTACAAGTAAATAATGGACAGGCGTTAGTCTACCGACAACAGTTTGTGACCGAGCGATTCCCAAATTATTCTGACAGATACTTTTAAACGAACCTCATCATTAGATTTCATGTTGCGGGCGTCTCTGGCTCCCGGCCGTTCTGCTTTGGTTTTGGCCTGCCCGCGACCTTCTTGTCCTTCGCCTCGATGATGCAGACCAGGCGAGTCTTTCTTCTGCTGCTTCACTCCGCTGCTGGGACGCTTCATTGCCACAGGATTCCTCCAGAGTAGAAGTAAATGACATTACGCGACATTCCATGCCAAGTCATTCAGTTGGTTTAACCAAGCGGATTTTTATTGAACAAAACTTGCTGTACTTGTTGATAGTGATAGCACGGCACTAAATCCCAAATTTTAGGTCAATCCGAGCAGGGTTTTGGAAGCTACATCCTGAATGTTGACATTTTCTGCAAAAAGGGGCGTGGTTACCTCCCTTTGAACCGTTATGTCTCAGGGACTTGTGGGTCAATCGTCATAAAACAGGTAAGTTTAGGAAGGACATTCACCACAAATGAATTCTCTGAATTAAAATTAATTAAAAAAAAAATATTGCTCAGAAAACCCGATCTATGAACCGCATCACAGTGGAGAAAGACTATATCCAATTTGTGCATTTACACTGCGCACACAATGGCTGTCATTTGGAGGACGCCTGATTCTGATCTGTTGATATCTGACTCTGTGTAGTTTTTTTCTATTTATTGGACATGATACATATCAAAATTTGAACCATGAAGTGTAAATCCACCACGAGACAGAAATCATATCATACCGTCCAGCGTTACTAAAACAACTAATGGTGGCACAGGACTTTTTGCACAGCACTTTATGTTCACCTGTGTTCGGCAGGCATGGGGGGCGGCCATGCTGCTGGGTCAGCGGCGCCTCCCCCCGATTGAGGGACGGGTACGGTCACTGGCCTCTCGGTCTTGAAGGCGTCCAGCACGGCCACGATACTCTTAATCTGCTCCCACTCCTCGGCCAGCTCCTGCTTCACCTGACCAGACGGAAAACTCTTGATGAGTTGATTTGAAATGGCATCGTGAAACAAAAGCACCCCCACCTGCTGCCACCGGACTTTAAGCGCCGGGTCCTTGAGTGCCTGGCAGTGCTTGTTGATCTGCTGTAGCACACCCTGGTAGTACACGCTGGATGAGTCGTAGTTGCCCAGCAAAGCATACTCGCGACCCTTTTTGGCGTTGTCATAGATCTCAGACAAATTCATGGCGCATGGCAGCTATGAGACAAAGAAAATGAGAAGAACACTGATTCAGTGGTCGGTATTATTGATGGGTACATTATTGCTGTATTGTTGGGAAGTGATGATAATCAATCAAGTTTTGAAGGAAGTGAGGTTAAAAAATAGCATACGTTTCACTAATTTATTGTCTCAAGTGCGGTCCACACATAACAATTGGGCCAGATTAAAGTAGCTGTTTGTCTCTAATAGATTATCCTGAGTGATTATTTTGTGTGAGAGCGATGTTTCCTCCCTGATGTGCTGAGAAAGCGTTCATGGCTGACAACTGTAAATGGTTAACATGTTCAATATTTACAAGAGCATTCCAGGACTGTGATTGTGACATGAAACTGAACAACAGCCAATTAGGACGGGACCTGGAGCTCATGGCTTTGCCAGACTTCAAAAACACAGAAGCAACTGGTTGTGGTGAGTATTTGTATTACGTGTCTCACAAGTCATTCACCACAATGATAAATGAGAAGGAGAAAATACCAAATAAACTCACAGTCAGTGAGTTAGCTTCCTTTATTTCTTCTTCTTCTACCGCTACATCATCTTCTTTGCACTTTCTACGGGTGCCGCCTCTTACAGGTCAGTCCTGGTACGAATAATGCGTGTTTGCTGTTGGTTATCCCAAGTACACAATCGATATGTGTGTACTCCGCAAAACACACCACGGCGTCAATTACGGGGAGCGAACGTTGACACTTCTGAAGGCCCATTACTGGCAGGAGCTCTAGAAAATGTTATAGTTAATTTGCAACATTCGATGCCCAAACATGTTCCTGTTGCTTGTTGTAAAGAGGCCCAACTGTGCATGTACAATTTTTTAGACAGTCTTTGGAAGGAGTTTTGTGTCCCCTGGGCGCGAAGCACTTCAGAAATCAGACAATATTAACGACTATCATTCTATCCTGCTCATCTAAAAAAAATAGATATCGGCTACATAGATTTTGAAATGTGTTTATCTTTCTCCTTCATTTTAATTTCATCATGTGTTGAGTGGCAACCTAACACCATCGATTGGCCAGGCGCCACTGGCCCCTACTCACTCCCTTAGGATCCAATACAACCTAAGAGCTGCATTAAAACCAATTTAAAAAAAATCCCTACAAATGTTCTCCAATCTGGACAGTAAACACGATCGCTGTAGAAATGCTCCCTTTTTTTGTTTATTGTGGTGCATTGTGGTGGTGAAAAGCCGCACATATTTTCCAGCCTGATAACGTAACCAAACCATTTTTAACGCCACACGCATGCACCTGTTCGCCCTCCTCAATCCGATCGCCTTTTATCCACTTCATTTAGTCCACAATCATTGTAATCTGGCTAGCGGTTGCTCAAAGCATCGCCTCCAGGCCACGAAGACAACAAACCGGGTGGCGATTGGGAAAAAAAAAACGAGAGACATCCCTCGTCGTTTGTAAGAACGAACACCAGCAACAATAAAGACTGCGAGGCGACTATTGGTAGTGTTGACAACAAAAGCAACATGAAAATAGTCGTCATACCTGCATTAAAAACATATGTTTGCGGCGTCCTTTTCAATCGGGGGTCCGCTATGAAGTGTTACCATGGCCGCGGAGACGCCTGGTAAAGAATACAGATGGCACGATTACAGTGCTGCATTCAAATACTATATAATCGTACGTAAATGTAAGAACTCTTGTTATCGTACCACGTCAAAACACAAAAATTGCTCTCTTTTTTTGGTATTATGCTTACAAATGGCTATCGTGTAAAAAGTCTACCGTAAATAATATCGAACAATTTCCTTTAAATATCCTCAGATATGCAAATTTAAGTATTTTATTTATCCTATTCATGTTCTGTTTTGATGTGATATGCAGAGCTAACATGAGCGTGATCTTTGTACTTTTCCAATGTTTATGGCTAACCTACATCTTAAAATGGCACACGCTAAATCGATCTGTGGTTAAAACAGTTTCGACGACGTATAGCACAAAAGAGCCGAGGTTAATTGAACGCAACATTAAGAATGTCAGCGTTTGGCAGGCTGCACCAGATGCCCGACTGTCAAAACGTTTTTTTTTGTAAAAATATTAACAGTAAAGCTACTATCGTGGTAAAACATATCATTTTTGATAACTTAGAATTGTATTTATGAAACTGTGTTCCCTATATATATCTATATTATCTCTCTCTATACTGTATGCATATATATATATATAGAGAGAGAGAGAGAGAGAGAGAGAGAGAGAGAGAGAGAGAGAGAGAGAGAGAGATCTATATCTATATACAGTATATAGATATAGATATATATACACACATACAGACACACACACAATTAAATGTAATAAACAAACCAAACTCGACTTTCTGCAACAAACGTTTTATTTTGTTGATTCAAACAAACAAGACCAAAATCACTCTCAAAGTCGACATCAGTCACTTTGGTGGCATGTGGCAAAATTCAAGGTGGTCCAGAGAGGAATGACTGTCTGCATTTCAAGGCTTGTTTGGACGAAAAAGAGAGTGAAAAAAAACATTTCATGTAATCAGTACCATTGCAATTGATTAAGAGTATCTGAGATAGAGCTGGTTATGATCATATGCGTTTTGAAGAAAAACACCTTCAATACGGTGACTGTTTCACTTTTAACAATATAAATGTCCCTTTAAAACATTGCGTCTTTTGCCTTTAAGCATGCACAGGTGTGTTAATAGTGTCGCTACATGGCTGATTGCTTACTCCATAATACAGTGGAACTTCCAGTTTAACACTTTAAAGCTTAACCTTAATCACTTTTCAGCCTGATGTTATGCAAGTTAAGGTTTATTGAAGATTCCCAATTGTCTATAAGTGTGAATGTGAGTGACTGGCAATCAGTCCTGGGTCTATCCTCGCCTCTCATCCGAAGTCAGTTGGTACAGGCTCAATCCTGTAACTTCTGCTTGCCCTTTGCTCACATAAGTGATGCGGTTAAAATAAGACTAAAAATATGGTTCGTACAGTAAATTAAGATTTGAGAATGGTGGAGCAAATTAATAAAATGATCATGTGCTCAATTTTGGAGGATCCACTGTAAAAATTAAGTACCCCCAATTCTATTTTGTTCTCAACTAAAAAAAAAGCTACATGACCTGTATATTTTTGCATGCATTTCATAGAAATATAGTGCAAATTCATCCCTCTGCGCTGCCTGTGAAGTGCATATCTACAGGAAGATCAAGGTATAAATTCACAGGAAGCTTGTGGTTGGATGCTAACTATCAGCACTGACAGGTTACCACTTCCTCCTCTCTGGGTTTCCAAAGATGGCCAACGTCACACTCAGAGGGTGGCTTCAGTCTCAGAGGTTTGTGGCTCTTGAGCCTGTAGGCCAGTGTCAGGAAAATGGCATCCACATGCTCCTTCTCAGCGGGGTCCTTGGCCGAGGTCTCGAATAGGGGCATGTTGTGCCCATCGGCGAGGCACTGCGCTGCCGACGTCGGCACCTCGCGGTGGTTCCAGAGGTCACACTTGTTGCCCACCACCACGCGGGGCACCAGGGGCCCCACGGCGTGACGGCTGCATTCCTCGATCCAGTCGGGGATGCTCTGGAAGGTTGTCAGGCTGGTTACATCATAGACGAAGATGACGGCGTGCGCGCTCCGATAATAGTGCTCCACCATGCTCTTCCTGAAACGCTCCTGGCCTGCAGTGTCCCAGATCTGCAACTGGACCCAAAGGAAGAAATATTTTTAAAAAACACTCAATGGCATGAACTAAGATATGGATTATTTTTTTTGAAGGGGGAGGGAGGTTGCTCTCATTAGTGACCCAAACAATCCAATGAGAAAAAAATCCCCCAATAAAAGTGAATTCTTTGGCTCCGACATTAAAAGTGGCCTGATGGCCCGCGGCCAGTATAGCGTTGTGTCGGGTCACCACACACCTTGCAGACCTTACCGGACAAGTACAAATTTCATAAATAAATACATTAAAACCAACACCTTCCTGTAAAAAAAATTGTGTCGACATTGAACAGCTACCCATCCTTCCTGTTTTGCGCTGTTTGGTTACTCTCGAGGAAAGCTCGGTGCTATGCACGAGCTTCGGCTGGCTAGCTTGCACAGCTAAACGGGGTGCAGAGTTGCTCCTCTCTCTTTTAACAACTGCCTCCATCGCGACAAATAAGATAAGAGAAGAAATAACTTCTGGTTCACGAAAGGACTGCATGGAGTAATTAACAGGAAAAGATGGTGAAACCATGCTGATTGCAATTTTATGAGCTACTTTGACATGTAGATCCAAAACTACCTGAATAAAGTGCTTGGGTAACTTCTCACAGAAGTCTGGCTGGATCCTTATTACATCTATCAGTAACCAACTTTGAACAGGAAATTAGGACACTGATTATTCGGTGTCCGGAGAGAAAAGAATACCCAGCTACACTGTAATCACACAGTGGACGTTTAGAAATTGGAAATGAATTAGTAAATTGCCGCATTTGAGGGCCAGGAGGATAGGGCCTAGAAAGGTTAAATGGATATTCATGTTTAGTCTATGAAATATTTATAATATCAGCAATGTATTTGTTTGGAAAATAGATTGACGAGTTTCGATCTTGACTTTTGAGGTCTGCACTATAAATTAACTCAAAAATACATTATCTTATTTTATTTTTTCTAATAGCTGTAACGGAAAATAGCTAAAATGATTTTATCATTTGCCAAAAACAGCGATGGTTGCCTCCTATCGGTTTGCCGTGCTATGACGTCACTATCATCTGCAATACGTTAACCTTTTTTTGAGCAAGAAAACGCTATTTTTCAATGCGACCACACATTTAAGAATGAATCATAAGTTAAGCAGTGTGTGTGTGTGTTTTTTACATCAGGGTTACGTCTAGTAGACAACCTGCAGTGTGTCAATGCCAGTCGTGGTTTTACCTTAATGATTTCCCCATCCAGCTCCAGCGTCCTCTCCCTAAAGTCAACGCCAATGGTCGCCTCGGGGTTCTTAAGGAAAGACCCACCGCAGAATCTGTACGTCAAACATGTCTTGCCCACGTTGGTGTCTCCTATGACGATAATTTTGAACACGCGACACGGCGACGAGTTGCCATCATATTGCGACGACGATGACGACAGCTCCAGGGAGTCGAAAAAAACCGAGTCAAATTCCTCATCGCCGGTTTTGTTTTCTATTGCCATAGCTCATCGTCTCGCCGAGAGGCCTGCTCGTAGACTGTGGACACTTGTGAAATCACGCGAGAGTGAGGTGAGACTTCGCGAGAACGTACACCGGAAATTAAAACTGGAATCTTTTTTAACAGTTCTACTTTATTTTTTAGGATTACATTTATATATCTAAATATGACCAAAAATGTGAATATTTTTCTCAATTTGATTACAAAACTAAATTGAACACATTTAAACGTGTATTAATCCATTAAAAGCATTACAATAATAATAAAAATAAAATATATTTTCATTCAAAATTAATTTAAAATTTTATTCAACTGAAATACGTATTTTCATGTTTAATATTAATCCTGTTTTAATGGATGGTTGCATTTTGTGTTTGGAAAGATTAGAGCATAATTGACTATGCATCTCAATCGTGTTTAAATGTTAATACACTCTTGGTTGATTGTATATTATTTCACTTTAAAAATGAAAAGTTCTCACGAACATAACACTGACACATAACATGATGCAGTGAAACGAACACCACGAGAACTCCAACTGTAATATACTGTACAAACTGATATAAAACATTTGATATTCACGACAGGATTATCGTCTGGGCCGTTAAACAGTGGACCGGCTCTTCACCTCGAGAAATCGAGGGTGTATTGGAGCTCTCCCGAACAGCCTGCATGTGGACTAAGAGAAGGCGTTCAACCGTGTCCCTCGGGGGCCAGTAAAAAACTTGGAAATACTTACTAGACTGCATTATAATCACACTAAATCTGTGAATGTGTTCCCCTTCTTCAATAGTTAATGTGGCACTGCCTTGAACTCACGCCTTTGACTTTCCCCTTTTCTCTTGATATACATGGGGAAGGTCAATATAATTGACGGGAGGACATTGTTTTCTGCTGTTATCATTAGGCTTTGTGAAGTGAGACGTTTAAGCGCAACCAACACAAGAAATCCTGCCGTGCGTCATCAATATTGAACACAAAGCAGTCGGACGCCACCGGTTACACCTATACCACTGATGTCAGACTGGTGAGGTGTTGGGGCCCTGGAGATCACCCAGGACATGCTTGAAGAGACTGTATTTCCCAGCTGGCCTGGGAACAGCTAGGGATCACCTGGGAGGATCTGGAAGAAGTGGTGGGGAAAGGAAAGCCTGGACTTTGCTGCCAAATCTGCTGCCTCTGTAACCCGACCTCGGATCACTGGTTGAGTATGGATGGATGGACGCTGATAACATAACGGATTAATCTTCCTTCTTTGAGATCGGCATTTTTGAAACATCTGCATTAGATTAATGGAGTCATATCCTGCAAAAATCTGACTTTGGACAAAAAAAAAAAATGTGTTAGGGTAATGAAATGTTAGTCTTATTTTAGAATTGATTTGAGATTATTTAGTTTTCAGTGTGACTCTTCCACATAAAACAACATCAAAACCAAACCATTGCTATTCAATCAGATGGTTTATTGACAGGTACAATAAAACTGCCATTTTAATACAGTTTCTTTGTTTTGCACACACACACACAAAATATATATTAAAATTGCCTTTATTCACCATAGAAAACACATATAACACACACACACTTGCAAGTAACTAATATGATATGGATATAATACTTGGAGTGGAATAGCAACTGTTCTGTACATCGGAGTACTATAGTTTGTATTAATGACCAGATTAGACGGGATTCATAAATATTAATCGGTTAACATTGAAAAATAAGTGTGGGGGGTAAAATAGCTGACATGTAAATGAGGACAAATCAAAACAGACTGGTCGAATTAAAAAAATTAAATACGCTGATATAAACCCACATACACATCCAAAAAACCTGAGTCAGCATAATGCACTCGCCATGTCATTAAATGCAAAGTCTGCACCCAAAATGAGCAAAATTCGAGGGGGGTATTAATCTAACAATATGTGTATTATATGTTGGTAATGTAACCAATATATTAGAAACACCTCTCAGTATGATGCAGTGCAATTCTAACAAGCACAATGATAAACATGCAGTACAGTATTGTTAAATAAATACCTCTCGGAGATGTTTTGGCTCTGTGAGTGCAGCGCATGATGGCTACAGTTCAACACATCTTCAGCTGCGTTCAACACAAAGACGACAAATCACTTCTACGCCCAGACACGAAATGGCCACTTTACACAAAGCTGAAGTGCAAGAAAATACGCTTCGCATTTGGTGTCACCCGCCTCGCTCGTCTATTTGCTTTGAGCTTGACACGCTTCGGTCCCTGAATAAACATTGTAAAGCCGCACTAGCTTTGTAGAGCTTTGCTGGGCCGTTTTTGTAATTCGACAGGGTGGAAATTGAACAAGTAGCGGCAGCCTGACCTGACCGCTGCTTTAGTACATCGTCTCTCGGTATCAGACACGGGACAGTGAGCCAGGGAATAAAAAAAACAAAACAAAAAAAAAAAAAAAAACAACAGTCAAGACAGGCTTTTGCATTGTAACCTAAAACGTGGGTAGAGTCACTTTTTATTGGGTCAAGGGCTCTTTTTATTGATCAAGATAGATTCCAGCTCAACCCCCATCCTAATGAGAACAAACACTATGGAAAATGGATGAATGACTTTAGATTCATAGTCATTCTATCTGAATACACATCATCAGGGTTCTTAAACATTGTTTCTGTACAGTATAAGTACATTTTGTTTCAATATGTAAAGTATTTTAGTCAGTTGCGGTTCTGGGAAGAAAGCAAAAGTTTGGGAGAGCAAGACCTCAAGAATAAACTCTCGCTTCCCTCTGTCGTGGTATAGAAAATGGATCTGTTTAGCTGCAGCAACACTCTAAAAATCCAACTACCAGTTCTCGTCCGAGAATGAGCTGGAGCTGGCCGAATCGGAATCTGCGTCCGTCAAGCCGTCTAGGTCCCAGTCGGCGCTGGATCCACTGTCGTCATCTTCCTCAGTTGAGAAGCTGTGCGCCGAGCCCAGGCACGCCGGGTAGACGCGTGTAGAAACGCACACAGGCCCCAGCGTGGATACGTAGACTGCCATGACGCTCTTCCAGCTCTCCCGCGTCGGCTCGTACTCGTGCATGAGAACGCGGTTCTTGTTGTGCTGCAACAACGTCTGCGTGAGAAGCAGCAGCTTGCCGCCATGCTGGATCACCTGGTAGTTGAGGGCGCGGCTGTCGATGGGGATGTCGGCCAGCCGCCGCCATTCGCCCCGTGCCGGGCTGTAGGCTTTCACTACAGGGATGTCGCACACGCAGATGATCTGGTCCTGGTAAACGCACGCCTTGTGCAGCTTGTCGCGGCGCAGCGAGCCGCAGTGGCGCCAGCGGTTGCGGCGCGGGTCATAGCACAACATGCGCCGCTTGTTCACTACGTATAAGTGATCGTTCAATGCCACCACCTGCATCTTACTGAAAGAATGCGGCAGAGGAGCAACGAAGGTCCACTGGTTCCTTTGGACACTGTAACATTCCACCTCTTTCAACCGGGCGTCTGTCACAGGGTTCCGTCCCCCCAAAAGGTACACGTGACCATTGAGGTAGCCCATGCCAGAGTGAATCCTCCCAAGCAGCCTCTCCGCTAGCTCCTGCCAGCTGTTGAGCACCGGATTGTACTGCCAGAAGTGTTTGGAGAGGTGAGAGGCGAGATAAAGGTTGTTTTCTGGGCTAGAACAAGCAATGAGGGACTCCATGGTGGAGCGTTTGTAATCCTGGGTGCTCAGATCAACGAGAGGAGGTGTCACAAAGTAGAGGTCCTCAGAGTATGGATCGCAGCACATGATGTTGTCGTTGGGAAGACCAAAGAACAAGATCATTTCTTTGGCACTCACGCCTATCCTATGCTTGGGAACGTCCAGAGATGCGGCCACGGCGCAGGGCCTGTTGAAGAACGACTCAAGGTACTTCTCGATGAAGGGCCTTGCCGCCAGCCCGTCCAGGTAGCGCTTGTCCCTCTCGGTGAACAAGTTCCAGCGCACGTACCTCAGCGCCCGCAGCGTGTCCTCCTTCTTGAGCGGCGTGTTGGCCTCGATCCAGCGCAGGGCGGCTGAGCACACTTCGCGCTCGCAGGCTACGTCCAACGTGTCCAGGGAGAGCAGGTCCTCCAACTGGTGTAGGTCCAATTCGCAAAGCTCCCCCGCGATGCACAGCTGGCCGAAGTTCCTGGCGATGAAGGCTCGAGCACTCTCCTTCAGCTCGAGGTTGTCGTAGGTGTCGGCGAACTTCAGAACCCCGACACAGTTGGCGAGGTCGAGCCTGCGGGTCATGAAGCCAGAGCAGGCCTTCCTGATGTACTCCAGTTGGAGCATATTGGCGGCGGCGTACAGCCTCTGCACGTTGCTCTCGGTGATGGTCACCTTACCCGTGTAGCAGTAGTCCACGATGACCGACATGGACTCTACATCCACCCCACGGATGGCCACCCTCTCCTGAACGCTCTCGGTCAAGCCGCCGGTGAACATGCTCTTGAAGTAAGGGCTGGCGGCGGCGAGGACGTTGCGGCTGCAGTGGAACAGCTGCACGAGGTCGTCACCCGAGGGCCCCTCCCTCATACCACCTCCGCTGGGCTCCAAGGGTTCTCCGTTGGGGTCCACCTCGATAGTAATGTCCGAGAGGAGGCGGCTGTCGTACAACGCCTTCAACTCCCCCATCAAACCTTGAGCGTGACTTACGTCCTCCAACACTTCGGGTCCACTGAAGCAGCCTAACACCGAAGCCATTTTTGGATCTAGTTTTTATCTCACGTCGCGGAAGCTTTCTGATAAGACACCGCCTCGCGCTCCACCTCCACGGCTAGCCGACAAGGACACATCCGCTCACGAGAAAACCTCAAACATATGCTTGAACAACAACAACAAAAAATTGCCAACCACTTAACGGTTTGGGTGGACGCTTTTGTGTCTCGAAGTTGGTTTCAGTCTCCAAATGACCATAATGTCCACTTAAAATCCACCATAGATGGGTTGGTTTTCTTCCCTTTACTCGGTATGTCCAAATGCTTTAGACGAGAAACAGCCAGACCGTGGAAGGCGGGGACAGTGATTAAAAAAAACAACAACCACCACATTATTGAGTGTCAAAATAAAAAGCCTTGTAAGTGTGTATATGTTAACATGATTTCCCAAATTGTATTTAATATGTAAAAATATGTTACTAATTTATTTTGTTTGAATTAGTCGCGTTTAATATATTTTATTTGACATTCTGCGTCAATTTAGATGAACGATAGTTTAGTTCTGAAGTCAATGCGCAGCACTTCCGTTCTCTCCCACCGTAAACTCATACAACGGGGTCCGTCTGAGCAGAAGGACGCCTGTGATTGGCTGTCAGAACTGGGTCAATTTCACATGGAATAAGAGCATTATTTGAAAGTCCAGGATAAAATGACTCGTGTTAAATCCAGAAGATTTACACATTTCAATCTAAAATTCCCCCCTATACATTCTCATACAATACACGAAAGACATGTAAAAAAAACAACTGAAATCCATATTATTTGTAGTCGTTTATTTTACCCTTGTATTGTGTTCAAAAGCTGTTCCCATCTGTTGCTCACCTGAAAACGGGTCAATTCGGACCCGAACACAATACAAGGTTCACGTTTAATTTCAAACTTAATGCCACTTTTTTTCAGTGTGCAGTCTATTTGCCGAGTGGAGACAGCGCTGCCTTTCAGACAGGTCCAGCCGGTCCGACCGCTCCAGCCCAATTTGCAATCGTTGTTTTCTTGTTGGGCTTTTTCCCTGTGACTTTATATAGCTGAGCTGAGTATCATGGGTAAAAGCGGTGGAGATTTTTGAGCAAAAAAAAAAAAGTTGTTATTATTATTACTATTATTATTATCCATCCATTTTCTAATCTGTTTATCCACGCAAGGGTCTCGGGCATGCTGGAGATAATCCTAATTTTCTTCGGGCAGTAGGTGGGGTACACTGAACTGGTTGCTAAGGGCATCCATCGACGAACAATCACACCGAGGGACAATTTCGAGTGTCCCATTCGCGGTATGGAAAGTGGAAGGATGAATTTAATAAAATACTTAAGATCAAAATGTAAATTTATCACAATGCAATATTTTATAAAAAATAAAACATACTATTAAAAGAAGAAATCAAATGCAAAGAAACGATGCTAAACCGCAAATTATTTCAATAATTTACTGTTGTTGTTGTTTTGGTTAAATGGAAGACACAATGTTTTCAAAACCTTTTATTTCACTTTAAAAATTCACCGTCTCCTTAAGCTTCTCATCATACGCATGGTAGAACACGAGAGATGATGTGCAATATCAATGCAGCGGCCAGTTACATTAGGGAAAGTATCTTTTAAAAAAGGAAACACAATAAAAAAACACACCGAAAATTCACATCAAAAACTTTCATAATTTAAGCAACCCAAAACAAACACAAACTTTTAAAGTGTTATTCACATATTTTCGAGAAAAGTGCTGCAAGATGAGGCCAGTAAATAGAAGTGATATGAATATGATGAATGTGACACCACTTCCAAACAGGCACAGGATGTAGCCAAACATTTTTCATCATTTTTACACCACAGTGACAAAAGTTTGTGAGAGATTTGAAAAACGCATGTACAAAAGCGTGACTTTTTTTCTTTTCAGCTTGCAGACAACCAATCAACACACACACACTTACAGTAGTAAAGAGTTCACATTTAACAACTGGTTAGCGGGATATTGCAAGAGTCGATAACAGGGGTGGGGACCCTCAGTTGTATAAAGTCCTTAGAAAATAAGAAAATATGAGAGGACCAGCAAACAAATGTTTCTGACTACATATTAGGAGATTTGGGGAGTTTTTTTTTCATCACTTCCTCTGAGGTTTTTGGTCCAGCTCAAATGCTCCGGTGGGCCATATCTGGCCCAAGGGCCTTAGGTTTCCCACCCCTGTTTTATTTTGACAATCCAGCCTGCTGGATCTATTAACTTTATTCCTCAGAGAGGAAAAAAAAAAAACAGTCATTCTTTCTTAGGGGGCAGCTCAACAAATGCTGTTACAGTGAGTAATGCAGCTTGACCCTGTTTATTAGGAGTAGTATTATTATCATTTTTATGACGATACCTGTGGAATGTTAGTAGCAGCCATCTTTCCAGCTGGCATCCCTCAGGGTACTTAGGGAGGTTAGGCTCTTTGGGGGTGTCAGCAAACTGCAAGGGAGAGTAACGAAAAGAATATTCAATGACTAGTCTCCACTCATTCATTCATTTTAACCATTACAAGCTGCAAAAACATGAACTCAATCTGCTTTTGTATTGATGTGGAAATTCAGTCATATATAAATACAACAACATTGCTAGATAAGAGTAGGATTATTCAGTTATGAAATATAACAACCAGGAAAGAAACCTCATGATATAATCAAGTCGTAAAAAAGAACATGGAATTCCTCAATTAGATTTGATATGTAAATAAGGCAAAACAGCTTTCCACTGATTGGTAGTTGCCAAAATGTGGGCATCTATTAATTTCAGCTGTCATCGGCATATATGTGGACAGCTATGGTGCACTCCCTGATGGCCATGAATACATGGCCCTGGTCCCACTGGAGGAAAATTGGTCCTTTCCATGGTGAGACCTGGAGGCTGCCCAGAGAGCACGCTAGCAACCAAATTTATTTTCAAATGATGGGCGTTTGAGTAGGGTGGTTTGTGAATCTCACCTGCGCGTGGGTTGTGTAATTTTGCTGGAGCGTGGAGCTCCACCAAGGGCCACAAAGGAGGCGGGGCGAGGGAGTGAGCTGCGGGGGACAGCAGACTGGGCGGCTGCAGCAGGGCTCTTTATGGGCTGCGGTACCGAGCTGGTGGTGGGCTTAAGGGGCTGAGGCAGCGGCGTGCTGCCAGGGATGGAGTGCAGGCTGGTGGAGGAGGACAAGGCGGAGGGGCCCTGCAGGACAGTCGGGCTGACATAGGCGGTGGCTTTGAGCGGTTGACGAGGGGTGGCGGGGAAGTTGCCAACGCTCTGGACGCGTTGACTCAGCTGGCCCGGTAAAGGAACTGTAGCACACAAAGATAAAATATGCTTAACTGATAAAATAAAATAAAATATTGAGCAAAATATGAAACAACATGGAGTTAAGATAAGTAAAATTACCGGTAAGTCAAACTATCCAAAACTAAGCTAAATACATGAAGTTAAACTAAAATGACAGATGTTAAAATAAGATACCTTTGAATCAGCTAAAATGAGCTAGTCTGCCGAAATAACATATCCCAAGGAAACCAAAGTCACTAATATAAGATACAAGAGGATAAGAACCCATGGACATTGTTGTTTATTGGACAGCACGTGATATCAGCAACGCACATACGAGAGGTGTAGGGTCTTACTGGAGGACTGGAGGCGTGCGAGGCTGCTTGACGAGTCAAAGCTGAGGCTGCTGCGCAGGGAGGACATGGTTGGCAGGGAGGAGGGGCCATGGGACGGGGGGTTGACGGGGGAAGCCAGGCATTGCATACTGGGAACACTCGGGATACTGGGAACGCTCGGCATGCTGGGGGCTCGCATCAGGTTGGGCATGCTTCTCCTCAGCCTAATGTCTTTACAACCGTGGCAAAACAAAAGCAAAATAACATAAACTTAAGGATGCTATGATACCCTGAACTCTGCTATATGCTAAGTTAAAATAAGAAATTATCACCAAAACAAAGCTAAGCTAGGCTAATATAAAACAACATATGAGAGGACAGCCACAAGCTAGCTGTAATAAAATCATCTCGGCTAAAATACAATTTGCTAAAATAGACTGTGAAAAATAAACTTGGACAAAACAAACCTTAAATTAGGTATGCTGAGACAAAATTCAACTAAGCTAAATAAGATAAAATATAATATACTAATATACCCATAATAAATTTGATGATAGGAAACTCAAAACAAAGGTGAGCTAAACTAGGGATAAAATATCATATGGTAAGTTAATTATGCTAAACTGTCAAGCTAAGGTACTCTAAGCAAAGCTCGGCAAAACTAATTTCTAGAATGGATTTGAATTAATAAAATAAAATAAGATAAAAGATTGGAAATCATTATCATTTTCAGAATAATGTGTTTTTTAAAGTAAAAAAAGCAGAGACTACCTGCGCTGTTCCTGTATGCCGCGTGCGTTTCTCCGCTCAGGCCGGCGGCCCCCGTATAGGGCGCCAGGCCCCCAAGTGAGAAAGATGAGGCGGTGGAGCTGCGCCGACAGTCTCTGAAGCTGGAGAATGTGTGCGAGTGGGGAAGGGCGCCTCGTTGCACCGAGCCTGTGCGGAAGAGTCGAGGCTGGGGAGGAGGCAGCTGGTCGTAACCTTCATCCTCGTCCTCCTCGTCGTCCTCCTCCAGATCCACGTCGCTGCGCCGGAGCGAGTTCAAAGAGAAGCTGGAGCAGCGATGACTGACCGTCGCTGAGGTAGACGCGTAATCCTGACGCAGACCTACCAGGAAGAATTTGGTATTTGAATAAAAATCAAACATTGGGTTGATATTCAGTGTGAACAGTTGACTCACTCTCCTCCTGAAGGCGGGCCATGACTTCCACGTCCGTCATGTCCTGCAGTTTGTACCCCATGGAGATGGAGTCGTCCTCCATCTCCGAAATACCCGCCTCGCTGTCCAGGGAAGACTGAGGGCTGATGGCCGCGTGCCGCTGGCCAACATCTAAAAGGCGACAGAGTTTGTTTTTTTACTTTTGAAACACAATGTTGGCCTATTATTTGTCATGCTAACAGATATCATGCAAATAATCCATCCTATGGATAATAAACTTTACAAGCATTGATTTAAAGGGGACATATCACGGAAAATTGACTTCATAATGGATTGTATACAAATAATTGGGTCTGTGGAGTGCTTGGCCCCGCCCACCATTAACTGGGAATTGACAAAACCAAGAAAGAGTTATGTCTTCTGCTTATGTTATCTTCAGATAGATGGCGTATATTTTACATCATGGTACCGGTAATAACAATCACACTCATCACTGGCCAAACAGAATATGGGGCATTGAACACAGTTGTTACTCGTTTATGGCAGGACCAGGATATGATGTGTAAAATGCACTGAAATACTTATTATTTTGATGAAAGCCATGTCACAGACATGTTATTAGGACAGCTGGGAACTGTTTGTGTAAAAAAAAAAATGCTGGATGATCCCTTTCAGTACCGTTGTCAATTTTATGTTAAGCGGGATTGTCAACATCTGTTGAATTTTACTACTAAAGTAACTTGTAATTGAACTTTTTGAAGTCAAGTAATCAGTAAAGTTTAAAACTGTGGCAACAGTTGAAGAAAGTGCATATAGTTGAATGCCTTACTGTGCAAGGTGGAGTTCGACAGAAAGGTGGGGGCCCTGTCCAGGCTCAGGCTGGGCCGGAGCGGGAGGGCGGGGCCAGACGATGACGGCGACTGCGTCAGAGCTTGAAGTGGAAAGGATAACAGAGATTTTAATCCCAACTGAGGATAACGGGCAAATCCAAAGTGCGCTGGCACGCCACCTTTGCGCAATAGAACATGAATATGCTTTGAATCGCTTTTCCTGACCATCTAATGTGCTCACTGGGAAAAAATTGGAGTACATTACTCCGACACGAACAGCAGATGCACTCTTGATTCACTCTCAAGTCGGTTACTGTCGATAGAAATCAACAAGATGTTTTCAAAGCACGTGTGTGTTTGCATCGTGTTTGTACGTTACCCAAAGACTATTTTTTTTTCTCAAATTGCTGCACCTTCCCTCAAGCTGCGGTGGTTTACGTGTATGCACCGATTTGGTGTTTTGGGCCGACCTGTGGTGTCGGTTATTGCAGCAGGTTTGGAGTAAGGCAGGACGGGGCAGCTGAGTGTGGACAGCCCGTATATGCAGCTGTGAGGACGAACGGAGGAGACTCCTCGCCACCGCTTGGCTGGACACACAAACACAGCGAAAGGGGTCGTTAGCAGGAGCAAGGCAGATTGATTATACTGTCAGCAGTCAACCCAAAATATTAATCTTCTTCCGACATACCAATATTGATGTTGTTGATGCGTCGAGATGGGCATTACATCATTACGACAACAGATTATTATTATTTTTTTTTTCTGAAGGGATTTTGGGATAAGCAGGGATTGCTTACGTATATGGGTTGAATCTCAATCCCCAAATCACAATGAGACCTACTCAATTTGACACACTCTGCTGCCATTTCATTAGCTTTATAAAGCATTAGTGGTCATTTGGAATTTTTAATCCTAATCCAGAGATTTTGCCGTGCCTTTCAGGACAATGTCAAGAGCTTGGAAGAGAGTATCTGATTTGTCCGTGACCGACAACTGAAGAGCAAATCATCTTAATGACGTTTCATGTTCAGTGCTACAAGATGTTCGTTGACACACGTGTAGGATGCGGAGCGACATGTGTCGCATCTTAACATCACATGTTCACGGCCACAGCTGTCCACATGTGGCCGTTAATCCGAGGGGTCGGGCAGTGCTCGCGCAGGTTACCTTGGTCCAATCTGTGGCACAGCGTCATCCTCGCCAGTTCCGCTTCTGGTCCCGGGTGGTCCAGGACCTGCCTACACCACTGGAGAGGGCTGAGGCCACGGCTGCTG